TAAATAGGTGCAGCCATATAGCTACAAGTCTAGGGACAAACAAGCAGGAGACAGGGCTGTTTGTGGGGACCATTATACTGGACTCATTTGCCAATACTGCATTGCAGCAGAGAATGAGATTTGTTCCAGAAACTTCAGTGTTTGGGTGTAATTGCTTATCTGTGCCAGCACAGAATTTCTCTCTTCTCAGCATGTGCCTGACAATTAAAATAAAAATGCAGATGTCTTCTTGCTCAAATGTACACCAAGCTGCTTGACTGTTATAGTGCAGTGAAACTCCCATGTGTAGTGTTACGTAAAGCAGTTTCACCCCGGTTCTATTTTATTCCTCGGGCATCCAGAGACGGCACCGGACTCAGTAGTCATTTCACAAAACCTTTCTTTATCTTCAGTTACGCATGCACCTTCTAGAAGGGGAGATGTGCAAGGCCGGTGTCCCTCTGCAGATCTCCACTTCTTTGTTTGTTACAACCAGTTTTATAGAAGCGACCCCATCGTAAAACCCACATGGTGTGTTGTAAACCCTGTGTTTGTGTATGTATGTGCGAGCACGTGAGTACCTGTGTGTGCGCGTACCTGTGTGTATGTGTGTGCACGTGAGTGAGTGTGTGTCTCTGTATATGTGACTTCCTGCCGGTCATAAAAGTCCATCTCCCCTCACCCAAGGTACACCAAATTCCACTACCAGACATACAAAACATATTACAAGCACTGAGACCCCCACTCTGCATCCACTGGGCCATTGGCCTCTTGTTGTCTTACTCTTACAGCTAAGCATGTGGAGAGTCTCCTGCAAACCTACTTCTAAGTTATGACAAGTTCAGGCCTATAGCTAAACCAAACTAAAACACACAGACATTCACCAATCTACAGCTGGACCCCCTCATCTAAGCAAATTTAAGCGCACTATATTCTAATTATGTTTTCTTTTACTCACAGTAGTAATAGCTTAAATCCAGCATAGCATTAATTAAAGCAAGGACCAAAGTCAAGCCTGGGCAGCCCCGACAGATCGGGTGATCTCAGTGCCAGCCAACATCAGTTGATGGTGCAACTGCACAATGTCGCGGTCCTGGATTTTTCTGAGTATTGTTTGGGATTCTTATTTCATATTTTCTCTTTTGTTTTCGATTTGTTCCTTGGTTCTTGTATTTTTATTTTTAGTTCTGGTTAGTTCCCTTATTGGTTCCCTTTACCTTCCTCCCACTGTCTCATGCATCTGTTAGTATGGAGTCTTGTCTCCGTCATGTTTCTTGTTTTACTTTGAGAGTTGTTCTAGTTTTGCTTCCCCCCTTCCTTTGTAACTGTAATTGCCCCCCATTCTGTCTCCACCAGTGATTGTTTTTATCTGTGCTCCACTCCCAGTTGTTTCTTGTTGCCTTCATTTTCTCGACTTGTCCATTGTTGCTGCCCTGATCTAGTTAACTTTTTCACAGTGAGTGCAATATTCTGCCTCCAGTCTCCAATCATGACACACATTCAGTGTGAAAATCTTATACAGGGCATGGTGTTCAAACTGTTTTATACTACCCAGAGTTCTTGGGCATCTGCAAGCTGCTTTGCAACCCACCTTCCATCAACCAAGCTTCTCCTGTTCTGCTTGGGGAACTGTGTGAAGAAAGAAGAGGAGGAGAAGTGGCTGGAGTTTGGAGGCACTGAGTTGAAGCCAGGCAGGAGGAGCAGATGATTCATGAATGTAGTGAAGGAGGACATGCAGAGGACTGGTGGGACAGAGGAAAATGGGGTTAAGGCGGTTAGGTGGAGGAAGATGATCCATTGTGGTGACTCCAGTGAGCCTTCTTCTGGTAAAATATCTAAAAACAACAACCAGGATTTTTTTGGGCTCCACAGAAAACTACCAAAATGCTGAAACCCAGGACTGAACCAGCGACCTTCAGATCTTCAGTCAGACGCGCTCCCAGCTGAGTTATTTCAGTGTGTTTAGCACCAATATGTCAAATAGCCAAACTGCAAAATATAAATGACTGCAGATGGCATTCTTCTTTTCACGCTAAATATTAAATTATTTATATTTGATACACTCATTGTGGGAAAATGACCGGTAGTATTTTTCTGATGATATGTAGATGTGAAAGGTAGATAATGATCATGTGCAGCTGGGGCAACATGTCCCACTGCAGTATACTTTCAATGAAGTCTACATTTGCAAACTTTCAATATAAAATAGAAAGAGCAAACGTATAGTTATTATATTCTTTTGATTATATGTTATGATGAAGCAGGTTCTTGTTAACAACAGTTGTAAAACAATTCACAGAAAAATGAGAAAAATCCAAAATCAGAACACAAAATACTTATTCTTATAATACATAATGTGGTTTTTTATTAATAATGGGCATTTTAATGTATATTAAGTTGGAGAAAATTGTCATTCATCCAACCTTTGATCAAGTATAAACACCTCTGTAAGATCTGTAACTGAGAAACATCTTGGGGCTTAAAAAACATAACCAATAATAAATATCCTTAAAAGTGCTTAAAATTCAAAATGCGCTGGAGAAAGAGTAAAAGCCCAAAAACAGAACCTTGCAGAGCACCCATACTCAGAAGCAGCCACAGAAAACAATGGAGAAATATTTATTCTCAATTTGCTGAGGATTTTTGCTTTGTTTTTGTTTTTTTTCTACAAAGAAAGCAAAAAAAGTTTTCAGTCATTTGAAAAAAAAAAGCTGGGACAGTAGCTGGAGCAGGAGTAGTATTGATGAATAGTGTTAGATAATACTTGTATGCTGTAATAATAATACTGTAATAACCAATCTGGACAGCTTAATGGTGTAGGATTAAAAAGTCAGTGAACTCCTTTAAGAACAAGCTATTGGTCCAAATGGACGATATCTATTATTAATAGAAACAGCCCAAGTTGAGTTGGGGATGTAAAAAAATCAGGGTTTGATCCATGAGGCTCACAGATTCAACTCATTGAGGGGAAAGAAGGTAAAACAAGCAGAGAGTCTGGATGAACTTTCTTGGGGTAGCATAGCCTCATAAATCCAAGCTCTGCGTGTCCAGGCAGGGATATTGAAGAAAAAAATCCATTCCAGGGAAATCAACTGAGCATTGCTAATCATAAACACGCTTCCATGCTTCCAGAACAGTCTGAGCTTCATCTGGATGTCCGCTCTCTTTTCCCTCACCTCCTGTGCAGTCTGTCTGAAGCCAGGTGGGGTCAGCTGAGGCCACCACCCGGCAGCAGAAAATGTGAACGACTGACCTATGGGGATAGGGTATCTCCATTCATCATACAGAATCCAATAGATAAAACCTTTCCAATGAGAATGTTTTAAAGAGATTTAAAGGACACTGATGTGGACTGATCTCAGACTATCTCCAGTGATCAATTGTGGATGTCCCAAAACAAATCTGGATAGTATCGGTTACCAAAACAACAGACCACAATCTATAGTAAGGTTTTAAAGGGCAAAGACTGCAATATTTGAGAACTTTAGACTGTTCAGTACGTTTGAAGCAGTGGTGCAGACGGGTCAGCAATGGAGGATTTATTTTACTCATGACTTCATACATATGCTAGACTTCATATCTTCACCTACAATGCTTCTATTTCTTTTCTAAAGTATGACTTCTTCTTAAGTTACCAATCTAACACCTTCTTTCCTGTCAGCTCCAAAAGGCGGATTTAATTGCATCGCAAACATCAAAAGCATTGCATAAAAGTCCCCCACCCCTCAGTAAAAGTGCTGTTTAAGGCTTTTAAATTGACCCATTCGAAGGCAAATGAGCCACAAAGCTATCCAGAGAATGGATAGTGTGTTTTAAAAGCCTCCCAAGAAAACTCTAAACACTAATGTGTGCACTGACTCTTATAGTTTTTTTTTTTCATTTTAAATGATTTCTCTCAGCAAAATGTAGACATAGTCAGTGTTTTATGAACTACATGGACATTTTAGTCACTGACACAGCAGGATAACAAAGAGTTATAACGATCAGTTTCCCTGGCCTGTGTGAGTTTGACAGGCGAATGCGGATTCAGCACTCTGGACAGCGCCAGCTCTCTCTGAATACAAAATCACTGCACCATTTTTAGCCGGTATTCTACAGGTCCACATATCTGGAGGTTCTGGAGAACTGAACGAGCGAACCACACAAGAGCAATCGTAGTCTACCTTTCCTATAGACAGCAGGTTATATATGAGCTAAACGCCGGCCCACTGGTTTTAAACGACTCAATCAACAGGTGTGTGCATCTGGCAGCAGTGAAGCCGAAATTAAACAGTCGGATATGTGAGTTTAGAGCAGCCATTACTGGGTACAAATAAACAGCAGACAGACAAAGGCAGGCGGTGGTTTCCACCAATCAGTGACCTCGTGTCACCCCTGCCTCCAAAATGTTGCTGATTGCGGTTCTGTGTTTGAGGCAATCGGAGACTGACGGTGTGGAAACCACGTGTCTACACTTACTGGATGCTGCGTCTGCCAGTACGCCCGCATCAAACTGCACGAGGAAACCGGAGGTGACTTTTCCCTTCAGAAGAAAAGTCGAAGGAAAAAAACCAAAATATTTGAATTATAAAGAGGATTGATTTGTTATTTCTTCGTTATTTTATTTGTGTTTTCTGGTAATTGTGCTATAGCTTATACTACGTTGTTTAAGGTAAATTTTACTAAAACAACTTTTTTTAAAAAAACTTTATAAACGGAATAGGCTTATTTAAAAATCTTTAAACAAATTCCCTGTTTTATTTATTTCTTGTTTTCTGATAGTATTCATTTCTATGAAGGAGTATTGATGCGACATTAAGAAAAAAATATTACAGTTGTTGTTTCAAGACAAACTGTTGCTGTAGCCTATTGAAATCCTAATTCTGAATCGACAGTTTCCTCACATGAACTAAAAAAATGGTGAAAGGGGAGGGGCTTTTATTTTGGAATTAGCAAGCGGAAAATATGTTTTGCTTAATTGGGTTCGGCTTTGCAACTGATTTGGCATCGTTAGTCAGTGCACCTCCTCGCGCCCCGCCGGCCGCTGGTTGCCTCGAGCGCAGAAAGACTTTGAAGCGCCGAAAGAAGCGCGTGAGGACCAGGAGCCAGACTCGGGTCTTCTTCTTCGTTTACTTTCAGTAGTCACAGACACGGCAAGCAGACCCACAGTCCAGCAGCTCCTGTTTATCAGGAAGGTGAAGAGTAGGAGGTGGAGGAGAGGATAGGAAGGGGAGACAGACAGCACCAGTGTCTTGGCGCATTGGAGCTTATGGATTATTGAGAAGTGAAGGCCAAAACGTGGATCAAATATTTATGAGGACTTTTTAAAAAGAAGCAAAAAGACTTGCGGGGTAGCGCAGAGATTCCCCGCAGTGGTTCACCTGCCCGTTCCAGTGCCGTGTGTGCGCTCTCACTTGACCAGAGACCAGAGAAGCTGCTGGGTGAAAAAAAAGGACTGTGCATCTAGCGCGTGCGTGCGTGTTTGCGAGTGTGCAGCGTGCTGGTGTGCGCGTTTGGAAAGGAGCCCCCCTGCTGCAGTAGCCTACTCGCTCGCCGCGCGGGTACAGGGATGCCACCGACTTGCTGACGGACCTCCGGTATCCGCACCCCTCCCCTCCTCCCGGACGGACGGACACACCGACCCCTGCCATCCCCACTAATATGCAATGGTTTTTTGTGCAGAAGCCGACAGCTGCCGCGTACCGCCGACTTCACGCTAGCGCCGCCGCATGCCTGTCCGTCGCTGCCGCTCCTCTCCCCGCGCCGCGCGGCAGACGACGCCATTTGAAGAGGAGCGCTCGGGGGCTTTCCACGCCGCGGCGGCCGGGCAGCAGCAGCGACCGCTCCTTGGCTGAGGACCGCCGGCAGCTAGGGCAGCCGGAGGCGGGGACCGAGGAGACAAGCGCCGCGGCGGTTGCTCTCTTCCTGCCGCACGGGGACGACGTCGACGCGGAATACGTGCGGTTGGTGGTCTCCGAGCTCGTGGGGGAACCGGGCGAGAAAGCGGGCGAGGAGCCGGGCTTCCTGCTCTTATTCTTGTCTATGGTGCAGGTCAGGGCGGCCAAGCACCGCCGAACTGAGCCCAACAGCTGGCCGGCTCTGCTGGCATGCAAACAGGGGGGCGTATCAGCCCCCATGCGGTGGGTGAATTTTAGGCTGCCGCATCCGGAGCGCCTCTCGTCCCCCACCTCCTCTTCCTCCACTCCTTCCTCCTCCTCCTCCTCTCCCCCCGTCTCAGCCAAATCCATGCGGTTTATTTGGAACAACATTTTCAGCAAAGGATCGCATATGCTGCAGTGTCTTTGTGGCAGGAGCCTCAAGAAAAACAAGAACCCAACTGGTGAGTTTGTTTTGTGCGCGTGTGTGCGTGTGCGTGCTTGGAGGTGACAGAAGAAGACTTTATTAGGTGTTCTGTGTGTGTGTGTGTGTGTGTGTGTGTGTGTGTGCGTGCGCGCACGAGCGCGAGCCTGTGTGTGAATTCCCTCCCGAGACTGCACTGTTCGAGCGCTCGCTGGTGTTTCTCCGCAATCGTGGTTGTGCAGCAAGTGAGAGCGCCACGGGAACGGTGGGGGTGTGGGTGGGGTGGGGAGGTGAGGTGGTAGGGTGGGGGTGCTAACTTATTAGCACAAATACTGAGTATACGGTTGGCAGTGCGTGCCGACAAAAAAATAAATAAAATTAAAAGAAAAGCGTGCCGTGCATGGCAGAGATGCTGCAGACAAATTAAGTCTAATGCAGCATGCAGACCCGTTCAGGCTCCTGTACTCTGCATGATTAAACAACACATGGCCTTATTTAGACTTCCACTGTGGATATACAGTGCATGATGTGGAAATAGGAAAGAGTCCCGTGTCTGTGCGTGTGTGTTTTCTATTTCAGTCACATCTCTTCTCCTGAGATCGAAGTCTGAATGCGATGCTGCGCACAGCAGAGCTTCTTTGGAAGGAGTAGGGGGTGTGGGGAGGACCCCTAATACTGTATGTGCGCCAACTTTTTTTTTCATTCAGGTGAGCCGAGAGTTAGCGCTCCTCGTGCTCACGTGCAACATGTCCACCTTCAGGGATGGGTCTGTCACACAAAGATGCAAAGATTTGAAGTCAGAGGGAGATTTGATTGAATTTACCAATTCAGAGAGTACAGAGGGCAGTCTTGCAAACTTAATTATCAAACTTAATTAGTTTGCTTTTTGTGTTTGTTTTGTTCCAGCAGATTCCCCTCTGTGAGGCTGAAAGCAGAGCAGAGATTGACACTGGCATCACTAATGAAGCAGACATTGTTGACTTTATTGGCATATTGACATTGCACCAGAGAGCTGGCCCATGTAACCTGCACACAGTGTTGAGAGGGCAGTTAAATGATGCATGCCCTGTAGTCAGATATTTTCAGTGAACACAAGCGAAAGTTTATTCAGATTACTCATCGCTTTGTCACTTTTTTTATTCACCGGGCTTTTGTTGAGTACTTCATTGGCTCATGAAATGACAACAGGTAATAAGGAGTTAACAAGTGATCTCAGGTGTCAGTACGAGTGGTGGTAAATTGGAATGTGCACATTTGTAATCCCATAACTTAAAAAAAAAATAGATTATGAGTCACCCTAGATAGAAACTGAGAGGGGAGTTCATTTTACATGCAGTGCCAGTGTCCAGATTCTGCAGCTGGCCTTTTTTTTCAGTGTGTCTCAACAGCTATTCATCAGTTAAAGGAGCAGTACACTACACAAGTCAAATAGACAGAGGACTATTTGAAGGGGTGATGTATGACGTTTTTCCACTCTTTGTCACTATCTGCCTTTGGACAAAGTGAAGGGAGGTGCTGGTGCAAATAGTAGACTGTATCTAAAAGATGGACATAGCCACCAGTGCCTTCACCCATTGGTTTTGTCATTTTGGAGCCTCAGTGTTGGCTGCTGCTGTGTAACTTTCTGGTGTCAAAAGTGGCTGTTTTTGAGTTCTCATCTAAGACTAGCAAGCTTGGTTAGCAAGATGTATTTGTAAACACTACAGGTGCAACACACAGACAGATAGAGGACTGCATAAATATAATGATACTTGACCAAAAGAATCTAAAACGTTAGCAGCAGCTGCATACAGAATGTTGATATTGTTCTGTCCTTCTACAAAGTCCTTTGCAACAGTGAGGTAATATCTGAGAGTCCACTGAGCCCACAGAGTGAAAAAGTATTCAGCTCTGAGAAGAAAATTGACATGCACAGCGGATCTTCAGAGGGTACGATGAGGTCAGCCATTAATGCTGTGTCTTCTCTTTGTCCCTGAATACTAAATGCTCATATCTTTTTTATTGTTTGAGTGATTACAAAGCACTGTCACCTTTTTGGTTTAGAGCTGATTTATGAAAAGGACAGGTATGCAAAAAATTTCAGCACCATGGACAGCAACCAGCATTTCAAACCTAGGCGTTGAAACATTTTTACAACGTGTAACCAGAGTTATTAACAGTTATTTAGAATTTAGCTGTCATCGCTAGGCTATTTCATTGTTTTTTTTAGATGTTTTATGTATGTGTAAGCATCAATAAGTCCCTGCTTTTTATTTTGCTATGTTTTCTGAAGCAGCAAAGAAGAAGTTTAACAATATTCAGTTTAATATATATCCTTATCCTATTCTGTCCTATAGAACAGCATACTGTGTTAATCATATTAATCATGGAGAGATAACAAAATATTTCCAGCATTTTGTTAGGTACACCTTGTTGGTACCTGTTTGTTGTTGCCTTCAGGGCTACTGTGGCTCAGGGGTTTGGGAAGCGCATCTGTAACCGGAAGGTTGCCGGTTACAGATGCGCCGGTTTGATCCCCGGGCTCTCTGTCCTGGTCGTTGTGTCCTTGGGCAAGACACTTTACCCTACCGCCTACTGGTGTTCGCCAGAGGGGCCTTGCTTCTGTCAGTCTGCCCCAGGGCAGCTGTGGCTACAACTGTAGCTTGCCTCCACCAGTGTGTGAATGTGAGAGTGAATCAATAGTGGCATTGTAAAGTGCTTTGGGTGCCTTGAAAAGCGCTATATAAATCCAATCCATTGTTATTAGGGCTGCCTTAATTTTTCATGGTACAGATTCAACAAGGTGGAGAAAACATTCCTCAGAGATTTTGGTCCATATTGACATGACAGGGTCACACAGTTGCTGCAGATATTTTGGCCATACATCTCTCATCCATGATGAGAATCTCCTCCTCCACATCCCAATCCACCACATGCTCTGTTGGACTGAAATCTGGGGACTATGTAGGCTGTCTGAGTACAGAGAAGTCATTGTCGTGTTCAAGAAACCAGTTTGAGGTGATTTGAGCTTTGTGGCATGGTGTTTTATCCTGTTGGAAGCAGCTATCAGAAGATGGGCACCCTGGTCATGAAGGCATGGACATGCCCAACAATATTCAGGTAGGCTGTGGTGTTTAAAAGATTCTCAGCTTGTACTAAAGGTCCCAAAGTGTTACATCACTACCAGCCGCCTGAGCAGTTGATACAAGGCATGCTTTCATGTTGTTTATACCAAACTCTGCCCCTTCTATAAAGCCTCATCAGACCAACATTTATCCAGTCTTCTCTTGTTCAGTATTGAGGAGCCTGTGCAAATTCTTACCTCTGTTTCCTGTTGTTAGTGGACAGAAGTGGGACCTGGTGTGATCTTCTGGTGCTGTAGCACATCTGTTTGATTTGTTGTGCATTCAGAGATGCTCTTACCAGACCTTGCATGTCACCGGTGGTTGTTTGAGTTTTTGTTGTCTTCCTCTCAGCAGTCTGGTTATTCTCCTTTGACCTCTTGTGTCAAAAACATTGTCAGGCCGGTGTTAAGTTTGACTAACGTCTAAAGTCTTGTAGTTTTAGCCGACTAAATATCATGAGATTAAATCCAAAGTTGCCTCAGTTGACTAAAACATAAAGTTCTGTATTGGTGAGAGTTGCTTCACATGGTTTACAAAGCATCTTCTTTAACTTGACATCAAACGTGAAATGTGTCTGCTTATCTCTTCTTTATTAACATTTTGTTGAGTGTTTATAAAAAAACAAAGAGGATGGGAGCTTCAACTTATTTGCAGGGGGGCAGATCATATTGTGCATGTCTAACCTTACTGCCTCCGTAGATTAATTCTGAATTGATCACTTCCCACAAGATATTTAGTTCTGATTGGATCTCGTGTCACCAGAACATTTTCTTTTTTTTTTAAATTCATTGTCCAAAGTATCAGTACAATTGATCGTAGTTTTTGTACGTGCATTAGTTTTTATTTACTTATCGTCTTGTTTTCAACAGAAAAAAGTTCACTGATGAAAACTATGATAAAAGTTTTTGGTTAACGAATAAACTTTGGCTCTTTGAAAACTACAGACAGTTTGTGAAATACTGACGACACCAGCCTAACCGCCACCATCAACCATGCCACATTCAAAGTCACTGAAATCACCTTTATTCATTTTAAACTTCATCAGGTTGCCTATGTGGCTAAATTGATTGAGTTGCTATCATGCAATTGGCTGATTAGATATTTGCATTACCAACCATATAAAGTGGTTTCTGAATCTATATTTATACTTTATCAATAAATGAAAAAGGCTCGTCTTATTAGAAAACACTCATTTAGTGTTTGGCTCCTGAATCTTACAGATTAAAGTTGAAAACAAACAAAACCAAACCATTTTTGCTGTGCTGACACAGGTGAAATAGCTGGTTTGCTAATAACTGCAGAGCATTCACAGCTTTAAATCCTGCCAAAACGTCACAGCTGGCAATTTACAAAGTGTCACATGACTGGATGTGTTTTGTTTCCTCTGGGCGCTTTGTTCCTACTTTAATTCCTTTTTATGTTGCGCTCCTGTGTGCTCATTTGATGAATTGGCTCGGAGCAAAGCTTGCTGGGTTTATGAGAGAGCGTGTGCATTCCTGTGATACACAAGCAGGACTCTGACAACTGAAATGCTCCTAACCAGAGCATTACACCAGCAGCACACTGCACACTAACACGCACACTTAAAAAACTTTCACACCCACTCTTTTTTTAGGGGTGTAAAATGTTATTAAATGCATACATTATGAGTCACAGCTTTGCTTTCAAACAGTTGACGAATAGACAAATACATAATCTGCTATACATTTTTTGGTAAACTTGTGTTGAATACAATGTAGCACTAGCTGCTTCCAATAACTGGCATGCTAAGTTCATCAAAAAGTTTGTAAGTGGATGCAGTTAATCACATTTTTCTGCAACAGCAGGGCACATCACACTATTTGTGTTTTGTGACAATTCAGTTTATTCTGCCATGGAGAAAATAATCTGTTGATCTGTTGTAACACCAAGCACAATGTTGTGTAAATAGCTGAAA